AAGAAAATATTTTCTTATTTAGTATGTTGGAAAGATGTGAACTTCCATGTATATTGTAAATGGAGACCAACAATATTTTTAATTTAATTAAAAGTTTTTAGAATTCAAATACTCAGAGTTCTTAATAATCAGGGATAACAGAACAATTAAAACCTTAAGAACAGTTATTTTTGTGACTCAAAACTAACCAGAATAATCTTTACTGACATATACACAAATAAATAGGTGACAATTTAAATATGTCAGTTTTAAAAAAACATAGCTATGGCTTTAACGGATATCTCTTCTTGAATCATGAAATTAATCAACTAGATTTTTTTTAATCACAGTATTAGAAACTAAATTTATTGCTAACTACAGCAATAAGTAATCAGTTACCTAAATGATTTGCAAAATTCTGTTTTTAGACATGAAAACTCTAAAGATAATTCTAAAGTTGTTCATTGAAATTATTTTGGAAAAGTAATAGTCAAACTATTTTTGGTTGTCACTTTATGAGAAGTCTCAACTTAAGTTAACTTTAAACAAACTAAAAATCACTATATGACTATGTAAGGCTGAGGTTCAGTTAGTAATCATGAAGCCAAAACTACACAAAGAACAGAACTAAATATAGTTTATAAAAGTGAAACAAACACCAAAAACTTTTAAGTGCTTTAAGAATCTGAGAAAAAAGCTGGGCTCGGTGGCTCAGCCTGTAATCCCGTGCTTTGGAAGGCTAAGGTGAGTGGATTGCCTAAGCCCATGGGTTTGAGACCCGTCTGGGCAACTTGGTGAGACTTCATCTCTACAATAAATCAAAAAATTAGCCGGGCGTGGTAGCATGCACCTGTAGTTCCGGCTACTTAAAAGGCTGAGGTGGAAGGATCGCCGGAACCCAGCAAGTTGAGGCTGCGGTGGCCGGGAGCGGCCACTGCACTCCAGTCTGGGTGACAGAGTGAGACTCCAATCAAAAAAAAAAAAAAAAGAATCTGAGAAAGAGTATATAAATTGCAGGCATTATGGTGCCATGTATCATTTGCTTGTGAAAGAAAGTTTATCTTAAGAAAAAACAAAAACAAAAAAATGAACTATGTTTTTTTTTTTTTTTTAAAAACCACTTAATGTTATGCGGCCAGTAAAATTTTAATTTTGTTTAAAAAAATCATCTGAGGTGACAAAATATTATTTTTTTTTCCAGGATCACCTTGCAAGAAGAGATAAACTACTATTAAGATCAATCTTGTGATTATTTATAGGTTCTAATCATAATTCACATCAGAGACATACTAGTTCAGTATCATGGCTATAAAAATATGAAGATACTAGAGAAAGAACTCTGACACCTTAAATAAATATTCCAGTGAAGGACTTGAAAATTCCAAGTCATCACCATCTGATTGGACACAGTAAAAACCCTAGTCTGGCACTGCCATTCATACCTACTGTCCTGTTGTCACAACTCCCTGAAGTGCTGCCACAGGATCCACAGACATGTAACAATGCGTGGCAGTCAGTGCACTTGAATTAATGTGACCTAACAGTACCCTTCAGGAAACACAGGCCTTCATAGATGTCTCTTTTCCAGAGAACCCCTTAAGAGGTGGACAGATGAGAAAGAAGACTTGCCTTCCACCCAACAGGAGTGCTTTTCTGCTGCTGCTGGTGTCCAGCGTGCACCAATACAGCCTCACTGTTTGTGAAGGGTCCTGCTCAGGATCAAGTGAATCCTGTTTCTCAGTAATAACTGGAAATTTCAATGAAGTCAGACATGAACCACTGTTTGTGGAGACTGAAACTCATTGGCCAACTCTAATTTGTTATTCTAATTTGCACTGAAGTATAGGAAACATGGAATGACTGTCAAGATTTTTCCTATTCTCACAGAAACATCACAAATAATTTAATAACGTTGAATACAAATAAAATAAGAATGATTTCGGCCAGGCTCGGTGGCTCAGCCTGTAATCCCGCGCCTTTGGGAGGCTGAGGTGAGTGGATTGCCTGAGCCCGCGGGTTCGAGACCCGCCTGGGCAACGAGACCTCATCTCTACAATAAATAAAAAAATCAGCCAGGCGTGGTAGTGCATGCCTGTAATTCCGGCTATTTGGAAGGCTGAGGCAGAAGGATCGCCGGAGCCTAGCAGGTTGAGGCCGGAAGCAGCCACTGCACTCCAGTCTGGGCGACAGAGTGAGACTCCAACTCAAAAAAAAAAAGAATTATTTCAGTTTTCAGTGCTAATGGTTAATATCCTTACATGCTAATCATTGAGGAGAATAGGAATTTTAATTTTAACAAAATTCCATTAAACTATCACTGAAAAATGTATCATTTTTTGCATAGTGATGCCACATAGAATTGCTGATGTGTTAGATATACTTAATAGTTAATATATAATATTAATATGTAAAAGTTAATAGGTATACTTAATAATTAATTAAAATTGCATTTTAACTGAAATGCAATTGCTCAAATTTAGAGAGTGCACACAGTTACTATATGAGAATTTACAGAAGACAAGTAAAAGGCCGCTAACATACTTATTTTAATTCAAACAGATATTACCCATTGTGTACTCTTTATTAAAATGTTAATGAGAAGATAAACATAAACTAGAACATGGCACGAGATACTTTTCTATTGAAAAAATTTTTGAGAAAATTATTACAAGATCATATAACAAACACCTGGAAGTTTTAGAAAAATATTAAATTAATAAACTGCCAATCTTCATTCACCCAGCACACATACACAGAGCATCTTCTCTGTGTCAGGACTATACCAGGAAACACTGGAAATGCAGACACCAAAGGCATGACCTCTGTAGGGTGGCTGTCCAGCAAGAAGGTAGACAGTGACAGAACACTTGAATACTTTCTATGTACACAGGGATGAAGGTTTGTCGACCTGACCTGAAGGCATGTAGAAGAAGCAGGGAGAACTACTAGAGGACACAGGGCCTGGGAGGGCAGAAGTGGGATGGGAAAACAGGTGGGGCCAGAGGAAGTGAGCACAAGGCTCACCATACCAGGTACCCAGTCTGCTGCTGTCTGGAGGAAATACTTGAAGTCAAGGTGACTCACAGCAGTATAGGGAGTACAGTCCACCCTATCTGCCCATGGGTTCGAACAACCAAAAATGGAAAATATTTAGGGGAAAAAATGGGTGGTTGTGTCTGTACTGAATGTGTGCAGACTTGTTTCTTGTCATTATTTCCCCTAAGCAATACATTAAAACATCTATTTACATAGTATTTACACAGTAGTAGTATAAGCAATCTAGAGAAGATTTAAAGTACACAGGAGATTGTGCAAGGTTATATGCAAATATTACACCAATTTATATAAGTAATTTGAGCATCCGTGGATTTTGGTATCTGCAGGAATCCTGAAACCAATTCACAATGGACACTAAGGGACAACTGTATAAGTCATAGCACAAAGAAGTCCAGGGTCAGTCTGAAGGAGAATGAGTCACCCTGAAGGGTTTTCAGCAGGGGACTAACAGGATCCAGTTCATATTTTGGAAGAATGAGCTTTTACAAAGACAGGGTGGGCTGGGTAGAGTGGCTCATGCCTGCAATCCCAGCACTTTGGGAGGAAGGTTGGGGGCAGCTTGAGGCCAGGAGTTTGAGACCAGCCTGGGGAACACCACAAAACACTGTTTCTAAAAGAAAAAAAGAAAAGAAAAAGCAGAGGAGGAGTACAGTAGAAGAGAGGCTGCTGTGTGGGCTAGGGGCAGTATGTGGGGCGAGCCATGGGGCTGAGGACTGCCACAGCACAGCTTCCCAGATGTTACCATGATAGGAAGATACTAAAAGAATTTTAATCAAGATACTGGTAGAATCTGATTTGGACTTTAAAAAAAGATACTTGGGGTATGAGCTGTAATCAAATTTGGTCACAGTCAATCAAGTATTATATAGAAAAGTAATGGAGTTGAAGGGAAGAAAGTCAATTATGGCCAGCTGGAAGAAAAGACCTCATATGACTACAATGACTGTGATTTCAGAAAACTAAATAATTGTGGTCACATTAAGTAACTGTGGTGAATTTAATGATTCTTGTTTTTAGTTTAGACTTTTGGCATCACTATATATGAATATTATACAATAAAAATCAAAGGCATCTAAATAGTAAACAATCTTATCATCACCTAATAAAAGCACTACACAATAAAAACAAAAGGCGATTAAAGTGATTGGTTAAAAGAATGACGATTAAGCCAAATCTGTAAACAAGTCCTGGGACATCTACATATATACATTCTTTAAAAACCTATGTCTAATATGAGCATGACCATTTCTATGTAAGACCATTTCCAGATAAAAACAAACAGCTTGGTTTTATGTATTCCACACTATTTTATAAAAAAAAAAAAAAAGCTATTTTGTCAATCAAAAAATGTATTTGATTCAGAAAGCAATAGTTTTTAAAATATATATTTTGAAGTGATTTAAGTGACTTTCATTTGCTATCACAAAGATAATACCAGAACTGTGTCAGTCATTCTTCTGTGGCTCAATTTTCTTTGCTAAATTGCTATAATAATCTTACTCCTACACATTTTCCTTCTATCCTTCACCTTTTCAGCATTAGTAATTAGGTTTTACATAGAAGTGAACAGGTTTTTTAAATAAAATTTTTGATGATGATCACAAGGTCATTGCATAAAACTCACACGTGGTCACTCTATTATATTTATGCAAAAAGGATAAGAAGTATGTGTTTCTAAATGATCAATTATTCTAAGGTATGATTAATTATTCCTGAAATTTAAGAACAACTTTAAGCCACTGAGTATTGACAATAAAAAGTATATTAAATTACAAACTATCCAAGAAATAAGCTTAAGTTGTAATAAAAAGTTAAAATCAAGCTAATTCCCCACCCTCAGTAGGTATAAAAAACTTAAACAGAAAAGCATTTTCAGCATACATTAATTGATAAAAGCACACCACACCTATCATCTAGATACATTAGATTACTCTCAGAAAAATTCAGTGACTTTATTTCCTTACCTGTTGGAGACAGGCAGTCCTTCCAATCAAAATAGCCTGCATAAATTCCAGGTTCTAAGGAGCCAACGATGGGATCTGCCTTTAGCTCAATGTAACTTTCAAAGAGTCTTTGGTCTAGTTCTTTCAGTGAGGTCATGCTAACCTATAAACACATATGAAAGAGTATGAGATGTCTATTAGAGGGATATGGAAAAAGTAAGACAATGTTAATAAATACTTCAATGTATTTTAAAAGCACTTCTAAATTTTTCTACAAACCACATGATGTTTATTTTACCTATATTCAGTAATAAAGACAACTTTTGGCATAGTTATTTTGCAGATAAAAAATAATCCCTATATATGAACTACAGCTCATCTTTGAGAACACTAAGCTTTCATATCTGTAAGGAGAGCAAAAGGCAGTATGAATACTAAATTGTAATAGGCGGTAAACGACAACAAAAAGGGAGTCATTTAAAATAATACAATTGTGTTTTTCCATATTAATTACTCCATTTGAAAAGTATCATTGATAGAAAATAAACCTGTTCTGACACTCTAGCAACACAAATGGAGTTTCTGTGACTTCTTCTTGCAGTCGTAACTCGGCCTGCATGCATTGGGATGGGCCAAATGCTGATGAGGCCCTAGGTTCTAAGGCAGCTCCATGGAGAGATCAGGCACAGGTCACTCTCTAATGGGCAGAAGACACTCAAAACCTCTAGTAGAGTCCTGATGTAAGGAATATAAAGTGGCAGGTCCTTGGTACAGCTCAGCTCACATGGACTGTGGGTTTCTGAGGGAAGAGGCGGCTAGCATTAGCCCTGCGTGGGTATGCCTGGTACTACTGGCACCCAGGAGGCCAGATGTGGTAGAAGAGTGGGTAGAATCCCAAGTATTGGGGAACTAAGATTCTATAGGCCCAGACGCCTCTGCAGTGGATGCTTCTGAATTTTGGTCTGAGGGTCACAGGTTTTTTCTCTCCAACACCAGGCCTGAACTTCAACAAGCTGACAAGGAAAACTAAGACATCTCAGGGTGTCAGCTGCTATATACAGGAACATACATTAAGGAGTGAGATTTAGTTGCAGGGCCAGGTACGGTGGCTCATGCCTATACTCCCAGCACTTTGGGAGGTGAGGTGGATGAACTGTTTGAGCTCAGGAGCTCAAAACCAGCCTGGGCAACATAGCAAGATCTTATATCCACAAAAAGTAAAAATATTAACCATGGTGGAATGCGCCTATAGTCCCAGCTACTCAGGGCTGGGGCAGAAGGCTGAGCTCAGGAATTTGAGGCTGCGATGAGCCATGGTCATGCCACCACTGCCCTCCAGCTTGGATGACAGGGTGAGACAAAAGCAACAACTTGAACAGGAAAAATCATGAAAACCCTGAACGGGATTAAAGTTCAACATGAAGCAAGATTTTATGGAGCTAAAACACAATTTCCAAAGCGAACAACTGTGTAGATTAACTTAAGGAACTACGAGTTACTAATCAGACTGAATTGAAATGCAAGATCTACTTCAGAGCACAGAGAAAAAGTGTAAAGAGATAGAAATTAAGAAAGATGAGACTTAAAGATGCATCCAAGAGCTCTAATATGCCCAAAACAGAAATTCAAGAAGAGAAAAATGAGTAGTTACAAAAAAGGTAAAAAATAGATTTTTTATGTTCTCAACAAAAAAGAAATGGTAAGTTGATGGATATGTCAATTAGATTGACTGACTCTTTCTACAATGTATATATAAGAGACATCATACTGTATCCCAGAAATATACACAGTTATTATTTTTTAAAAATAAATAATACAACAGAAAAGAAAGAATAAGTCCCATGTCTGGCTTACTGGCTTGCTGACTCAGTGACTATAAACTAAGGCAGGAAACACATAAGAGAGAAGGTGGTCTAAAGGAGAAAGATAACTTTGCTTTGACAGGTTGATTTGAAATCCCAATGGAAACTTCTAGTGAAGATGTTTGTAGAAAGTGGATCTAAGGTCTAGGAATGACATGCAAGTTGGAGATAAAGAATATGGAAATCCTGGGATCAGTGACGGATGAGGTTGTGGAGGTAGATAACGGTAGATAAAAAAACTGTACCAAGTAAGGACACAGCAAATCATATGCCCAGAAGGCAGAAATATTGAGGGAATGCTGAGAGAGAAACATTTATGTGGACTGCATCTTATCTGCTAGAACTTAGAGTTTTCAGTGTAGGAACCCCACACCCTACCCAAGTGGAAAACTGGTCGTTTTACACTCTACTTCCTGCAATTCTCACCTCTCAGGAGAGACACAGAGTCCCTTCTCAACTCTCGAAACAGCATCTAGTATGTGATGCCTTATACCCTTTCCTGCTTGCGGAAGTTTTTCTACATTACTTTCTGTGTTGGGGAAGCAATACTTTATACATTACTAGGATCTTGAGTCCTTCCTACTGTACATCTATGCATATTTGATTCTTTTTTCTCTTCCCATTTGTACAAGGAACTTGAAGCAGCTAAAGGGGGTTAAAAAAAAACCAAACCCAGTGTTTATTAGACAGGGACACATCTGATCAACTTACAATTTGTCTGTAAGATCTTAAATTCTAAAACAGATTAATTTACAAATAATTTATTATGTAAAAAATTTATAAACAAAATTTAGCCAATTCAGACTTACAAAGTGATGAGAAAAAGAAACAAACATATATATACAGATAAACCACAGGAAGGATATAAACTGTACTCATTTGCATCTATGAATTCAAATGGCTTACAAGTTGAAATTAAAGAATTATATCTGATTAAGCAAAAAATAATCAAATATGTAAAATATAGTATATATACTTCAAGCAATGAAAAGTCTTTTAAAAAGGATCTCTTCCCTGGACTTATAAAACAAAGGAGCCACCCTCTCCATACCTCCCATGTTAGTATTTCTATAAGAGATTTAGAGGCCTAAAATAAAACTTCAATCAAAAAATGTAATGCCAGACTTAAATATATTCCCTGGTCAGGAGAAATTCTGCAATTATAAAAAACTTCAAATTAGATATTTGTTTTCTTAAAGACGAGAATAGGTTATAATAGAATTGTATATATTTTTAAAAATTTCCTGGAATTATATAATTATAGCTAGCAAAAGTTTAAGCACACAGCTCTGGTTTCCTTTCTCAAAGGTACTGAAAAATTTGACTTGTGATAGATTTGGTTTGCATTCTTAAAATGCAAAACTCTGTATTTCTTAACTAAGTGCCTTCAAAATTAGTTTTTACAATATATGAACAGTCAATAAACAGAAGAAAAGGTGCTAACTTCCTAAAAAGGGAAAGCCATGAAAATTAAAATACAATGAAAGAATATTTTTACCTATCAAATTCAAAATTGTATAGGAAAATGATGGCAAAAATGCTGAGGTCAGTTTCCGAAAAGCAACCTGGCCATATTTATCATATGTATTTAGAGCTACGAGTCTACTTCTAGGAGTCTATTGTGAGGAATTAATTAGACATATGATCAAAGATTATCTTCATCTCTCAGAAACATCAAGAAAAATCGAAAATAACTTTAAGGTTGCTAGTAGAAGAAAAGCTAAAAAAAAAAAAAAAAAGACACATTCACACTAAATATTACAAAGCCATTAAACTCATATTTTACAAAAATATTTAATGAAAGTGGAAAAGTGTTCACAACAGAATATTCAATAGAAAAAACAATGTCAATTGAATTCAGAAAAGTGTTTCACATTTTTATAACATAAATGTATAGAATTTATGAAATACTGTTTACTATTAATACTAAAATAGTAGTGTTTATCTTTGGTTGGTGCATTACAGATAATTATGTTTTTAGACTTCTGATAGATAATTTTTATTGACTGATTTATTTTTAGACCTCTGAGTATTTTTCATTTTTAAAAATAATAGTTAAATCATACATTCATAAAGAGAAAAAAACGCATGGCTGGAAAAAAAAATTTCAAGGACTTGAGAAAAGGTTAAACGGCACTGACTGTATACACAGAAATGAAATGTATGCATGATAGGATGCTTGTTGCTGGCACCTGTTAGGATCCAAACAGCACCAAGTCCACTGAAGGCTTATAATATGGCTATTTTAAAGAAGGAAGCTCACAGAACAGGATGATTTGGGTACCCAGATCTTATGAATTACCACTCAATGTTGTTTCATAAAGGCCAAAACAATATAATCAACCAGCTCCAGATCCTATTATCATCTGTTTGGTATACAACTTTGGATTACACAGGTCCACTCAAACATGGATTTTCTTCCACCTGTGCCACCCGACGAGGATGAAGATTTCTTGAATAATCCACTTTCACTTAACAAATAGTAAATACATTTTCTCTTTCTTACGTTTTAAGTAACATTTTCTTTTCTCTAGCTTACTTTATTAAGAATAGGGTATACAATATATGTAACATACAAAATATGTGTCAATCGACTATGTTATTGGTAAGGTTTCTGGTAAAGAGTAGGCTATTAGTAGTTACGTTTTTGGAAGTCAAAAGTTATACTTGGATTTTCAACTGTGTGGGGATTCAGTGCCCTTAATCCCCAGGGTTGTTCAAGAATCAACTGTATTTTCTTTTTTTTGAGTTGGAGTCTCACTCTATCGCCCAGACTGGAATGCAGTGGCTGCTCCTGGCCACTGCAGCCTCGACATGCTGGGCTCCGGCGATCCTTCGCCTCAACCTTCCAAGTAGCTGGAATTACAGGTGTGTGCTACCATGCCCGGGTAATTTTTTGATTTATTGTAGAGATGAGGTCTCTCCAAGTTACCCAGGTGGGTCTCGAACCTGCGGGCTCAGGCAATCCACTCACCTCAGCCTCCCAAGGCGCGGAATTAAAGGCTGAGCCACCGAGCCCAACTCGACTGTATTTTCTTTTTTTTTATTTTTTGAGTTGAGTCTCACTCGGTCGCCCAGACTGGAGTGCAGTGGCCGCTCCTGGCCACCGCAGCCTCGCCTGCTGGGCTCCAGTGATCCTTCCACCTCAGCCTTCCGAGTAGCCGAATTACAGGCATGCGCTACCACACCCGGCTGATTTTTTTTATTTTTATTGTAGAGATGAGGTCTCGCTGCCCAGGCGGGTCTCGAACCCACGGTCTCAGGCAATCCACTCCCCTCAGCCTCCCAAAGGCGCGGGATTACACCGAGCCCGGCTTCAACTGTATTTTCATGAGAACACTTTTATTTATTTTAAGATGCATAGTGCTGGATCAGAAATCATTCTGAATTTAGAATAAGAAAACTTAATTTTGAGTCCTGCCTTACTCTGTTACTTGCAGGTCAAGTCCTTGACCTCTTTTGAGTATCTCTTCCTATGAAGAATATGAGGCTAGTAATACCACCCTTAGTTATTTCTCAGGATTATTTGCATCCAATAAAACTGTGCATATGAAATCAATCTACCCTTAAGTGGCACTGATCATTAAATCTTAATAAACTACAAAACACATGGTTATTTGTATACTATTCTTATATTAATTCAATTTTACTTTTGAAGGTGAGGAATAAGGTAAAGGGAATTAAAAAGTGGTCCTTTTCGTGCTTCTGCTGGGAGACGTACCAAGAAAGAAAGAGAAAATATACCTGGAAAAAGCCTTCTGGCTCATTCTAAAGGAGGTCTGAGAAAAGGTCTGGTGACCAGTGATACCATGTGAAGAGCCCACAATGGAACATCATCTCCAGGAGCAGAAACAGAGAGAAAACAAATAAACTATCCACTGGGATCTCTATGCTTTGTGATTTTTCTGGAATCTATGCATCTAGAGTTCTTTCATTTGAAAGGGGAACTATAAGAAATAATGGCAGCCAGGAGTCTTTTTCCTTTAATGACAGAAATATATCTGACTTGGCTGACATCATAAAATTAAGAGACTTACACAATAGACTCAAAAGTTAATAAAATCATTGCAAATGTTATAGTCTAAATCTAGCATTGTCTTTCATTTTACAAACAATTGAATAATTTCAAAATATTCAAGATGGTCAATTACAAAAAAAAAAAAAAAATTCTAGGTGGGAATATAGTCCATAATTTATTCTAAGTTGTACTCTCAGACTCCCAGATCTTTCATATTATTTTGGATCCAAATGATCTGGACAAACAGCAGGAAGGATATCAAAAAACCTTTTTTTAAATGTCAACTTCATTTTACTTCTTAATGAAGTCGTAAATAGTTCCTACTTATTGCTAAACAAAAACCGAGACCAAACTTATTGCTTCTCCTACATGCAATTCCTAATCAGTTAACATATTTTAAAATGATAAATAAAATTTCTCCAGTGAATATACTCATGTCATTACTGTTGTTGCAGTATAAAAACAAAGTATCCACATTCTGTAAATAGTAATGTTTTACTGCAAGATAGCACTTTGCAATTCTCAACACAAAAATTTCTGGAAATAAACTAGACATTTGGCCCTAAAGCCTTAAGTCACAGCATTTCTCATCAGGATGATTAATCTTTACGAAAAGGCAGGAAAACAAGACAGAGCCGCCCACTTTGACATTTTCATTCTTTGAAAAAAAAAAAAAAATCCCAATCTAGTTCATGAACTGGAACTATCATTTGAAAAAAGTCGATAATCCATCAAGAGTACATGTTGATGATAAGATTAACAAGATCACTATCTTTCTTATTCTTTGCATTGAGAAAACTGTACTGACATTATAAAGTGGTTCTAGCAGAGTTTTTACTCAGAAATCTGATAAACCTTTGCCCAGCAACCAACCAACCTTTAATAGCAAGGTTACCTCATATTTTCCTTTTATGCTTACTTGAAAAAAAGATAAACAACAAAGTATAACATTAAAACACTACATTAATTTCTACAGGACTCATTTTTGTCCAACTTTTCTACACCCAGCTATTAGAGAGTTGGGAGTATGAATTTTTCAGATAAAATGCTAACTACCTTACAGTGGCTATAAGCTGGGCACATATACGCATGCACCTGCAAGTGTGTGTACACATGTAAGAAAGTAGAGCAAAAGCATCCTTGTGGTGACATGGAAAGGGAGAGAGTGAGAAGAGTGTGATTAAGCAGGAAGAGGTTGTCTGCAGGCTCAGGGAGTGTGTTGTTGGCAGTCTCTAAAAACTTTCATATAAAAGGAGCCAAATCTTAGATAATTCTTGAAGATTTGGGTTTGCTGCCTTTCTATCCTTATTTACTTCCCTCACTTTTAAACAATTTAGGTGGGAGTAAGCCAACTCTCACCTTGAGAGATCTTAGCTCTAGAGAGGAGGAGGAAATCTTAAATTAAACCCAAGGTGCATCCTGAGAAGTAAGGGAGTCAGAAGACAGTGTAGGTGAGGGTGAGAAGGGAGCATGGGTATAAGAAGGGCAAGTGGAGGGAGTAAGCACAGGTAAGCAAAGTAAAACAGGCCTGACAAAATAGTTGGGAAACTAAGGTGCTAAAACAACCAACTTATCCATTTAAAATTAGCCTACTTACCTGTGTTATTTTTTCTATTCCCTGGAAGTTGTGCTTTTCAAAATGTTCCGCTATATTTAGGAAGGTGTGACGTTCTAGATAGCAGCAGTTACTTAGAACTATCAAAAGTCGCTGTTCCTAAAAGCAGAACAAAATTTGACAAAACTACATTGATAGTAACAAATTGAGAGTTTAACAGATAACACTTATCATTTATTAAGTTTAATTATAAGCTCTTGCTATTTCATATCAATATTCTATGCTTTGCTTTTCTTGGCTGTGTCTTTCTCAATATAATAAAAAGAGAAAAATAATACAATTCTACAACTCTACTACTTGCTCACTATTACACAATACACTAAACAGTCAAATAATATTTCCTTTACAACTTAATAGCAGTATGGAAAAATAGATTGATAAAATCCAATCTATCAGCAGTTTTTCTAATGAAAGGAGTTCTAACTTTATTGTTTAATTTACTTAATATTTTGTGTATACAAAAGGCTACAGGAATATTTGTAATACAAATTTCCTTAAAATGCAAAAGCTATTAGAGAATAGTTTTTAAATTTTTCATGACCTGGAGGAGAATTACATGGTCATACATCTATACAATGGGCTCCTTCGAAAAGAGAGGCCTTTAAGACTTCTTTGTAAATGCAGGAGGAAGACTAGGAACAATCTCCCTCTAATAGTCATATTGGTCACCAAGGTCAGAAGGCTCCTCCACAGGAAATGGTCACTGTAGCCATGGGGAGGGGGTAGAACCCACTTACTGCTATATTCTTCAGGATTCTGTCCACTGAAAGTAATTTCTTACAAAAAATCGCCAGACCCAAATGCTGATGAATACTATATCCTTTTACAGTTCAGAATAACTATTTTTGTCAAAAAGATTCCAGGAGTGGCCCATGTGCTGCTGGTGTGGTTCACCAAGAGTCCTGTCCAGTGCTCCCGCAGGCTGGAACAGCTGTGTCTAATAAGGGGCTTTGACTTAGATCCCTTGACAAAAACTATGGCAAAAGTCACTTTCTAGGAGAAGTTCTCACCCACAGTTTGCCGACTCTTTCTGTATATAATCAGAATAACTTACACTGAAATAATTCAATGGTCAATGTGTAAACAAACAGGTTTCTCTTCTTTGAAGTATGTGGACCAAAAATGAACAACTAGTCTTTCAATCCAACTGTCATGCATATCTTGTATCTCCCAAGAATTTCTTTTAGCTAAATTAAATTTCCAAAAACTTTCTAGATTTCTTCATTTAAAATATCCTTCTTTATTTCTGGCAGAATGTGGCCCATTCATTGCCTTATTTGACCATCAATATAAGCAAAAGGCTGAGAAATTACTAAAAGACCTTCACACAAGTCAAAGGTTGTTAATGACCCTAAATTAATCTATGGATGGGAAATGGAATATAAAACAAGGTAAATAATCCTTCCCACATTTTGTGCATAAATAGCAAGAGGGAAATTAGAAAGAGGCCAGATGTAGTGGAGGCCCACACCTATAATCTCAGCATTTTGGGAGGCTGAGGAGGGAGGAAAGCTTGAGCCCAGGGGTTCAAAACAGGCCTAGGAAACACAGCAAAACCTCTTATCTACAAGAAATCAAAAAATTAGCCAGCCATGGTGGTGCACCCTGTAGTCCCAGCTATTAGGGAGACTGAGAAGGAAAGACTGACTAAGCCGAGGCTGCAGTGAGCCATGGTCATGTCACTGAGTGAAACCCAATTCAAAAAAAAGAGGGAGGGAGGGAGGGAGAAAGGGAAGGGCTGGGCAAAGGGAGCCTAGGTCCCTTTACAGGTTTAAAAAAAAAAAAAAAAAACCTAGAAAGAAGTGACCAAGCACTGGAAATGTGCATAGGAGAGGCTGGGGATGGTGAGGCCATACGACTCCCTCTCACCCCAAGGCTGGACATACCATTGTATAGTCCTTGTAAAGACAAGGCATCAAGTACACAAGATTTTCATCAGCCACTCAAAACTGCTTCTCAGTTTTAAAATCAATCCTTAAGTACTTTTCCTTCAAGAGCCAAACCTCCTTATCTAGCAGACCTGAACCTGTCACATCCTCTCTGCCCCACTAATTAATTCTCATTACTTGATTTCTCCCATTGTACTATAAGCACGGTTGTTCAAAAGTAGAAAAAGCATTTGAGTGATTTAAGGTCCTACTCAATGAGTGTATCTGCTTCTTAGATCTAATCAATTAAATGAAATAAAAGTGGGAGGAACAACTGAATAAAACAATCAAATGCTTAAACTGGATGACTAATCAAAAGATCTTTAAAAACTTAAGTAAAGGAATATGGTCTTATGCATCATGTCAGTCATTCCTCACAGCCTCTCTGCAACACTAGCATCACCACCAGTTTGGTTCAGAACACTGGACCTGGATGCCCCTCAGAATGTCACTACTAAGGAGCACGCCAAGATGTGAACCAATGTTTTCTGACTCTGAACCTAGGTCTCATTCTTACCGTAAGACTCTAAGATCTTAATAATTGGAGAGGATAAGTCAAATCTAATGAGATCCTCCAATGGGAAAAAGAGAGGAACTGGGTCAGATTCAAAGGAACACTGTTTAGAGAGTAAAATGGGAGATAGGAGGTCCTTTGACCAACAGAAGAATATGAGAAATGCTGAGGGGAGGGTTGGTGGAGAGCTGGTTCAATGTGAGTCAGCAGAGCCGCAGCCTCGGGCACTCGCAGGAGCCCAGGTAGATTTTGTGCTCCCCTGAAGAGATATAGGAGCAGACTCAGAGGGCCACCACACGTCAAGGGGCATGCACACACCAGCAGTCTGAGGTGTTATCCAGGAGAAGGACTAGGAACACACAGCTGTGCTCTCCAACACTGAAGAGGTAAGGACACAGAAATCAGGCTTCTCTGAAAGACCCAGAAGAACACACGGTGGCCGGACAGCTGGGCAGGCCTCTCCTCATCCTGGAGGCTCCTCCTTTAGTCCTCGCTCTCTGCAGGCCACCATCTTCTTTCTTGGCAGCCCCTCCGAGGAAGCGCTCCTGCTGCCCACCCACCAGATGTGTGTGTTCACCATCCCAAGCTCCTCAGCCTTCACACTGTGAATTCTACTTGTGCTTAAATGTTCTTTCCCATAAGTCTTGGGAATACTGCTCTATTGGGATCTCCTATCACTTTGATCATTCCTCTTCAGGCATGCTGAAGCCCTGTTTCTAGGTACCTCTTAAATACTGGCATCCCAGTATTACTTGCCTCTATTTGGTCTTTCTCACACCCTACCAGTATAGGGCCCACCAGCTCCCCTCATTTTCTTTCTGTATCCTGACTGAGGGGCACAAAGTGCCATGGCTGCTTTGTGATCTAGCCAACTGCCTGCTTTCTCTGGCAGGCTTGTGCCTACGCCAGGCCTCAAACATTCTCAGGCACTAATAAAGCTCTTTGAGCTGTTGCCTGAAAACACAGAAACCTCAAGCATGCTAAATAGGTAGGAATGAGCCCTATCCTGAACCAGATGCCTGAAGCCCTCATAGGAGCTTGTTGCTTACGCACTCGAGCAGAATATCTCCTCTTGCTTCCCCTGAGAGCAGACGCTGCAGCCCCCACTGTGTGCAAGCTCCCCTGATGCCCTGAAAGAATCACTCTGGTGTTCAGTGCTTCTTTCTCTGGAATCCCATCTGACTCCATCTCTGGACAGTTTGGGGCAGTCCCTTGCAGGAACCCCCCAACCCCTCTGCCACCACTTTTAGGGCAATTCCAGCTGAGAGTCTGGACAAAACAACAGTATTTTACTTGGTATTCTTATCTACCCAAGCTTCATATTGTTTATGTACTGCTGATTCATAAATATTAGGGGTTCCAAAAAATGTATACATATTTTAAGAGATGTTATCTAAGTATTCCTTTTAGAAGTTGAATTGAATTATGGTAGCAATGTGTAGTATGATGTTCACTCAAAAGACGGCATTAATCAAATGAATGCTAGCATCACTAAGCAACAGGTAGGACAGTCAAAGAAAATGGCATTCAAGGAGCACAAGACCATTTTGAAGTGGTATTTGAAATTCGAGAACATTGCAGAAGTGCAACGACAATAGAGCCAAGTATGCAACAGAACCTTCAACATACCTAACAACTGCACACATTTGTAGTAAGTTTGAAACTCATGGTACTGTGTGTGATATGCACAAGGGAAGATCCAGGAGGCCTCACACAGCAACAAGTCCTGTGGTAGGCTGCCATAATCAGAAGTGTCTGGACACTGATGGTAACCATTTTGAGTACCTCTTGAAATAGTAGAAGTCAAACATGACTTGTATTCATCTTTTGTTACAACTTTTTAATAGTTTTTTCCTTTCTTAAAATGTGTATACATTTTTTCGGGCACCCTCTGCATGTATCCTGGCATCCAGATAAGTGTATCCGATCACCCACTAGATATTTCTACCTGAATGCCACCCATTTAACAAGCCTGGTCCCAAACTGATGTTTTAATCCCTAAAACTTGCTTTTTCCCTGCATTCTTTATCTCATTGAACAGTAACATTCTCTATCCAAGCAGCCAAATAATTAAACCGAATTTTAAAAATTACTTTGACTAAACTATACTTTTCCTAGTATACTAAATCTCTTATTCAGAAATTCATACTTGCAAATACAATAACTGAGGAAATGACATAGGGTAGGAGGTTCAGACCATTTATTTCTTGAGCTACACACACACACCCTTCAAGTTTATGACAAACCAGAGAAGGTTGTTTTATGTACAATAACTGGAGCTTAAATTTCAACAGTTGAATTCATACAAGTGACAACGTATGCAAGTGAGTCCTCCCTAAATACATATATATGTTTTAAAAAACTGTGTGTGTGTGTGTGTGTGTGTGTGTGTGTGTGTGTGTGTGTAAAATGTATAAATGCAGTGTACATATGTATATGTTTATTAGGGGGACCCAATAAAATCCAAAATTATTTTTTAGAGGGCAGGTCCCTTGTAGTAGAGGCTTCCCCTGCTAGGTAAGTGTTCCAGGAACTCACCGGCATTAGCTAGCGTTGTTGTGAGAGGCTGAATTTGGTTTCCATGAATTTTTTTTTTTTTTTTTTTGAGATTCTTTTAACACATTTGCCCATTTCATGATGGGTAATTTACAGGAACAACCTGGCCACACCATACTGTTTTTGACCAGGAATGGCATGACCCCCATGTCCCACCCGCCCTATTCACCCAATCTTACCCCAAGTAGTTTTTTTTTTTTGTTTCCCTGGATGAAAAAAGCCCTCAAAGGAAAACATTTTACTGCGGCAGAAGCACTAAAAGGCATCAAAATTGATGAGATAAAAAACACTTTTGAACAGTGGAAAAAGCATCGAGATTGGCCTGTTGTTTCCAACACAGAGTACTTTAAAGGTGGCTGAAGTATGAACACATAAGAATAAATACACAATTTTTTATAAACAAGTTCTGAGATCTTTGGGGGTCCCCCCTGGTATACACATATTTTTTGAACCTGTGTTCAAATAAAATGCTATTAGGGAACTTACGGAAATAAAACAGAGGCAAGTAGAGCTTCTCAATTTGAAAAGGCAAAAGATGTGAGGGAAATGGACACTGAATACTCTACCTTCTTCCTCCCCAATCCATTATGGCAACTCTCTAGCACCAATAACTGCACACATGCAGACAGCATCTGAAACTACTTAAGTTGCAACACTAGTTAAAAAGTTTTAAGTGTGAATCCACATATATTACACTTTTCTAAAATGTTCACATAGCTTCAAAGTACAGAGCAGTGTCCTATATAACACATGCTACAATGCAGTAGTAACATTTGAAGCAATTAGACTAATTTATGAATTAGTCATTAAATAGCTTTAAAATGTTTAACTTTCTATTTACCATCTTACTTACGGAAGTCAAACTGAGGTCTTCATGGATACTTCCAAATAAATCAGGAGAAGAAACATCAATAGAAAGACTGAATACAGAATCAAGTAAGAGAATAGTTACAATTGAAGCACTACAATTGGAAAATGCAATGAACTATATAATTTAAAATGTTTTGGTTAAAAAAAGCATAACGTTGCACAAGTTTTTTTCTTTTTAAGTATTTGACAATTAACAGCTCAAAGAAGAGATAGGCACTATGATCTATCTAGTAACAAGGGCCATATGAAATTTGATTTTGGGTCTTCTCAAAATATTGAGAATTTGACTTAATTAAATTTAAAAACAACTCATCAAGGGGGACAATGTCAAATAATTCTAATTATCCTAAGAATAAACTCACTTAATTAGAATATTTCTGCCTATTGCAATCTTCAGCTCTCCTTCATTCTACCACTTATAGGTGTGAGTTAGGAAATTAGTTATAACTCACATGTGACTAGACATATAAAATTGGGGGAAGGGAAAATATCATAAACCTGTTGATTACTTTATAGATATAACAGAATCATAATAAACATCTCTGCATGATTCATTTCCTTAAAACTTGACCAACTGATGTCAGAATTTATATGGATAACTAAAACAATGAAAATATCAAATACATCAAAATAGAGAGGTAATAAAATTCTACCAATATGGAAAACATTAAAACATAAACTAGTGATAATTAGAACAGTACCAACTAATATAAAACATATTTGAATTTAAGATAAAGTTCAAAATACATTGCACTATATATCAAAATTAGACATAAGAGAGAGAAATTGTAAGAAAACAATAAGGAAAGACTGATTTAAATAATAACATCAGGTATATTATACTCTACTCTGACTAAGAATACAAATTCCTGGTAGAATAATTAACTAAAACAAATAAAGGAAAAACTAGAAGAATTAAAAATGTATAGGTCCCTAGAGAGGTGATAGTTTTATATACTGAAAAGCATAAACCAATACCAGTAAATAGGCAAACATGGATAAGTTCCCAAACTGTCAATTTAAGAGGCATTTATTTCAGTAATATATGTATCAAAGCATAAATCTTAGGTGCACAGAAGTTACATTCAGAAGTACAATTCAGAAAAAATAGATTTATTTTATTTTATTTATTTATTTATTTTTTGAGTTGGAGTCTCACTCTGTCACCCAGACTGGAGTGCAGTGGCCGGAAGCAGCCACTGCAGCCTCAACCTGCTAGGCTCCGGCAATCCTTCCGCCTCAGCAAAAACAAGTAGCTGGAACTACAGGCATGCGCTACCACGCCTGGTTAATTTTTGATTTATTGTAGAGATGAGGTCTTGTCAAGTTGCCCAGGTGGGTCTCAAACCCACAGGCTCAGGCAATCCACTCACCTCAGCCTCCCAAAGTGCGGTATTACAGGCTGAGCCACCAAGCCCGGCTAGATTTATTTTAAAAACAGCATTTTATCATGCTGTCCTTCAGAACAGCAGTATTTAAAAAATACCACATAAATTTATAAACATAAAGAATTAAGATGTGTCCTCTGATGCTCAAATAACTAGACTTGACTCAGACTTAATTTCATCAACATGCTTAATCTCTAACAAGAGTACAGGTGTGCTCCCCTAATGCCAGAATTGTTAAATATAATCAACTAGGCCGGGCTCAGTGACTCAGCCTGTAATCCCAGCACTTTGGGAGGCTGAGGTGAGTGGATTGCCTGAGCCCACAGGTTCAAGACCAGCTTGGGCAACTGGTGAGACCTCACCTCTACAATAAATAGAAAATTAGCCGGGTGTGGTAGTGCACACCTGTAGTTCCGGCTACTTGGAAGGCTGAAGTGGAAGGATCACTGGAGCCTAGTGGGTTGATGCTGGGGTGGCCGTGAGCGTGCCACTGCACTCCAGCCTGGGCAATGGAGTGGGACTCCAATTCAAAAAAAAAAAAAATCAATTAGGAGTTATATATGCAAATTTTTGACTTTATTGCTTATAAAATCTGTTCTTTTGGATTGGTAAATTAGTCGTGTGTTCAATTTACTTACTATGTTTCTAAAAAGGCAAAGATAAGTTCAGAAGGCAAAGAAATTATAGCAAAGAATATAGGTCAAATATATAAAACTATAACTTTAATATGAAAACTCTCTTTAACTGAAAGTTGTAAGACAAGACCAAATATAAAATATTAGTCTAAATTTTTAGTTTTCCTAAATGCATTAACGGGGTTATTTCATTTTTACTTACTGTGTAGTATCTATATCTGCATCAGATTTGGTGCTCAATTGTTCAAGACAGTATATAAAAACCTAAGTAAAAAACAATAAGCTTCAGAACTCTCAGAGGAATGAATTCTCAGATATTAGTCTACTTGGACACTAAAAATAATTTTACATAAGGTAGAATTTTATATTGCATAAACGGTGTGGTAGTATGTGCATATGTGTATATATTATATACATCTCCTTAATGATAGGAATACACAGCCTATCAATACATAACACATTATTAACAGAAGCTTAAAAGCACCCATGTTTTCATGAATTATTAAGCTCCTAAATATATTTTAGGAAAAAGACCTTTTTTCTTTCAGTCACTCACTTACATGCTCAACTTTTTCAATATGCTTACAAAGCATCGTCCAAACAAAAAACTTTACATTCTGGATGCAAAGTAAATGACTATCATTTAATTTATTCTGTGCTCTAATAGAAATAAAGTACCAAGATAATATAAAAAAGGGGCGCATATATAAATGAACTATTAGAGTATTGCTAAAACAAGTTATAATCAATCTACATTAAACTTTATTTTGTTACCCTATTCGCCCTAAACTATTATGTACAGACAAGATGAAAAAAGAATATACATTTAATATATACACATATTATAAAAAGAAGGTTGATTAATAGCTTGCATTATTTTAGGCTTTGGCCATGACTGCTCTCAAATATTACCTGCATGATATTGATGCTCAGTTGGCAAACCTCTTCCTGTGTTTTAGGCTGTTGAAAGACCTATGAGGAAGAATTGTGATTAACATTTACAGACTTTGCTAAGAAAACAGAACTTTTTGCTTATAAAGTTAGATATGAACAGTCAATATATGAAAAGCTGCTTCAAGAGCAAGTGTCCTCACTCTGACAAGGGACATGAGTGAAGAGTTGAACTACAGGAGGCTCTCCTGGCTTGAGAAGATGATGAAGTGCTAGACTGATTGATAACAGCCACAGCAATCATCTATTCTGTCCACAATGTGTTACCACTACAGATGCTGTATTAGAGCCCCACACTCACATTTTCACTGATATCAGCTGTCTTGAGACCAGAAATCAGCTTGCCTATGTAGTTAAAACAAATGAAACAAGCAAGCAATGAGGGAGAAAAGTTCTTGTGCTGTAATGACTCAAACATTTATAGCTGTGATTCCCCCAGGGCTCCCTAGGAAATTCTGAGGCAGAGGTGGATTAGACAGAAAACTCACACTGGCCTCTCCGGGCTTGCATTCGAGAACATCCTTCAGCGACTGCAGGGAATGCACGATGCACTGTTCAAACTGACAGGGCTGAGGAGAAAAATGCTGTATCTTAGTATCTGAAAATTCAAAAACAAGCACTGGCTATGAAGATAAATTTAACAGAGTGAATATGATAAATTTAACAGCGTGAATATGGCTACAAATCTAAATCTTCCAGATTAATGGAAAGGAGCAGAGACACAAATAGTCTGACAGGGAACCTGCTAGTCATTGAATTTTAGTTTTGGCATATGTTTTGCACTTAATATTTTAAATTGGGTAAATCTGGAGAATCTATGTACATACAATTCCACTAGAATAGAACTCAGGTATAACTAAAATTTTTATTCAAAATTCTATCCTCTGAGAGGCAAATGACATGATAAGGAGAAGATGTAATGAGTTTATATTTTGCAAGCTACTTCCAGATATATTCTGGGGTAAACTCCGTCTCTTATAAGAACAATCTGGAGGATGTACAAGATCTTTAAATCACATAAGTAATTATAATCATTTTCTGTATACATTAAGTCAGAAAATGAAACTCAAAATTATATCCAAACAATTACATTTCAAGGTAAATCTTGAATGAATCCTAATGTCTCAGCTTTTAAGAGTATCTAAGGTTTTACTATGCACCAGAAAATACTCTGTGATGGACACAACAGTGAGACAGAGTTCTCATTACATGTTTACTCTAGATAGGAGATATTGCAATGAAATGTTAAAAAAAAAAAAATATATATATATATATATATATATACACATATATATAAATAACTGCAATTGTAAACTTTAATAAGTATCATGAATAAAACAAGCAGAATCCATGAAAATTGAGACAAACTGTGATGGAGGGATCTGCTCTAAACAGGACAGTCCAAGAAGGACCCCGAACAGTGAGAAACTGAAGCTGAGACCTGAAGGGCAAGAGGACCAACCCCATGAAAGAACAGAGGAGGAGAGCGAGTTCCTGGAGAAGAAGTGGCACATGCAGGTCCTCAGGTAGGAAAGGCACCGCTAGGTCAAGGGACCATATGAAGAGCAGTGTGCCACACCACCACCACTGAGTGGGAGCATAGGTCTTGAGGGTGAAGCTGGGGGCTGGGCTTCATTCAAGTGGCAGCAAGCATCAAAAGGCCCCATTCTTAAGCAAACAATTCGTTCAAAAAATCTGACATGAAACCCTCTCTTCAACACATGCATTGATTTTTAAAAAGGGTTTGGGAAAATTGAACAGAAGAAAGGAGGAAATACATATATACATAAAAGACAAGTTTATTCCTTACAAAAAGAACTCAGACTTAATGAAAAGCAAAAATAGTGCCTCAGCCTTAATGTCATTTTATTATTTCACTTTGAAACCACCAGAGGGCACCATGAAAAGTGCGTAAAAGTAAAAGTACAAAAAATAATTAAAATAAGGAATATAGGTTGCAATACCAACTGCACAGAAAGAATTTAAAGAGGCAAAATATTTGTTAGATGACTGAATTTATTCACCTGACCTACTCCCTCCCTCAAAGGTATGAAAATTTAAGACGTTAAAATAATATTACTATAATATTATTGTATATTATATTTGTTATTATAAAAGTATACTATAACACTACTATAATAATATTGAGAATTAAATCCAAAATTCAACTGTGAATAATTAACTGCTAACATTCATGGGTGGTTACTTAGATTGTTTTGTATTAAAATTTAAACTAGGCTTTCTTAATTTTTTTTTTGAGTCAAGTTGGGTTCTTACTCTGTCATCCAGGCTTGGGGGCAGTGGCATAATCACGGCTCACTTCAACCTTGACCTCCTGGGCTCAGACAATCCTCCTGCCTCAGCTTCCTAAGTTGCAGGGTTTATAGGCGTGCCCCACCACACTCAGCTAATTTTTTTATTTTTTGTGGAGACAAGGTCTTGCTGTGTTGCCTACACTGGGTCTCTAACACCTGGGCTCAAGCAATCCTCCTACCTTAGCCTCTCCAAGTGCTGGAATTATAGGCATGAGCCACCACACTCGAACTCTTGATTTTTTACTATCTGTACTAATATAAGTGGATAGAGAATACTAGAAAGCTCAATGAGCAGTTTCAGTTAAACTGGGAGTAAGTTACTGTCTAAACATTCACTATTTTTTTCTTGTATCTCTGTGTATTGTCAGCAAATTGTCCAATTTAGCTGACTACACAAAGTTATCACAAATCATTCCAGTTCCACTGAAAGAAGAAAATTCTCAGAATTATCCAAATTGAAAAAGGCAGAAACTATTTTCAACATGAGAAGAAAACAGGATGCTTTCAAATGAGCTATTTCAGGGCACAGAAGTTCTAATTAAAGATAATACTTCAGCTGAAAGAACAGTCATAATGAGGCAAAGCTTACTGTTCATTTCTTTAATGCAATAAGCAACATTTTCCTATCATAGTCACAGAGAAAGAAAAATAGTATTCTCATCTCAAACAAATGGGATTAGTACAATGAAAATGTGAAGAAAGTATAAATTAAAGGTATGTGATAAACTTTGATACGATTTAAGTCATTGTTCAAAGCCTAAGAATTTTACACACCACATGTTAGGTTAAAATACTAATACTCAAAGCTGGAATCTAGACTTATGCTCTATGTGTTAATTCACCTTTCCTCTTAAGATAGGTCCATCTTGAATAGCTAAAAAACTGCCTCAGTGGTATCAACTCATTTATATTAGCATATATCTTTGATGACATTTGACTAGAACATGACTTGACCAACTCCAGATGTGCTACTTCCTGTGGCTCTTTCATCCACAGGGGGCACTGGGGTTCATTCTTTCCTCCCTGGCTTACATGTGTGTGAGATCAAACATGAAGTCAGTTATTTCATGATTACAATTGCACTAGTATAGTTAAGCTTCAAAAATAAACCACAAACAAGCTTCTGCATGACCATCCAGAGCATTTTCACAGGGACTAATGCACCACAGTCAGGCAACGGGCTCTGAGGTCTGGCAGCCACAGAGACACACACACACTGGCTGACCACATGTGCAAGAAGCACTGACCTGAAGAAGGATCTAAAGCTATTACCTATTTTATGGCTCAGAGTTATTGAATTTATGTCAGTTTTTAAAAAGGAAACAGACAACCTTGACCACAGAGACTCTATTTTCTCATACTGTACATATAATCTTTTGCCTTTGCACAAGACCAAGTTGAGGCAGGTATCATGGACCAGGCATCGATGTGATGTGACATCTAACCTGCCTGCATCTACTTCATCTTGGGCAAGTGATTCAGTAGATGATGGACCATCCTTTGGACTTGCTATGATAATTTAGAATTAAAAATTATAAATTATTATATGAACAAGCATTGAAAATAATAAGGGGTAATGTAACTAAAGCATTATTATCATAGTGGCCCCAGTTATTACAAGTACTAATTTAACAAATAAAGAAATCCTTTAAGTTTGGCCAAAACTTTGCAGATTACCAAGTGCTTTGGTCCACAGTATCACACTTCATCCTAACCCACATTACTGTGAAGAAGTACCTGCTCCCTCTTTACAAATTAAGACATGATGCATAAGAGATAAGATACACAAGTGGTACCTTATCAAACTGAAAAGCTTCTGCAAAGCAAAAGAAACCATCAAGAGTGTGGGGAGACAGTCCACAGAATGACAAAATGGAGAGTGAACATCTACCCACCACTTTCTTTCTCTAAAAATTTATTGTGAGGAAGAATCAATTACAAACTAGTTTGTATTTGAATACAAATAATTGTGACAAATAGAATAAACCCAATCAACTAAATATTTTTATTTAAAAAATCCTTTAAGATTGACTTATTAAAAATAATAATCTTCTCTAACTCATTTCTAGCACGATTTAATTTGCAAAAAATTGTTAGTAAGCATTGCTTTTCTAAACCACAGTTACATAAAATAAGGTAAAATTGCATATATTTATATTAAGATATTTTTAGAAGAATAGAACGAGTCAAAAAATCCCCACCCCTACAAGAAGACTGTTCTTAGGAAGTAAAGTCAGTCCTTCATAGCCTTGAGTTCCGCATCTGCGAATCCAATCAAGTGGAACCAGTTGGATGCAGAACCTACAAATACCAAGAGCTCGAGGGGCTTGAGCATCCTTGGATTTTGGTATCATGAGGGGGTCCTAGAACAAATCTTCCTTGGATGCTGAACAATGATTGTAGAGAAATTCAAGAAAATGAAGAAATTTTATGTAGGGCAATTTTATGTAGGCTTCTCAACAGTCTGGCTCATCACTGGTTTGTAAATTTGGGCAAGTCAAGACCATTTTGTGTTAGTTTCCTTATCAAAGTCAGATACTCTTAGTTGCCTCCATAGGATTTATTTTCTCCTTTTTTTCTTAATAAGGTAATACAAAATTTATTGGGAGCATCCATGTGCTCTACGGAAAAACCCCATTTTCTCAGCCCCTGTTGCTGATGGGTGGGCATGTGAATGCATTCTGGCCAGTCAGACATGAAGAGGTGTCAGGTGTGTCTCCTGGGATAGCAGTGAGACCAGTAGTGACCACGAGGCCATCCTGAGTAGAAGCCAGTGTAAGGGGTTACAGGGAAGATGGATAGAGGGGATTCTTGGGCACTGACTCCATGCCCAGGCTACCAGGCCAGTATGAGAAATAGGAAGTCCCTGCTTTGTTTCAGCAGCTGGCAAGTCTTCGTAACTGGCACACCCACTTAGAGGACAGCGAAAACAGATAAATCATAAAAAAGATTTTCAAAGATATTTTGAAACCTAAAAATCCGATCAGAAAAGATGATGATTCCAGAATGAACAGATTATAGTTGCCTGCCCGACCTCTGAATATACCTGGAGAGGTTTGTGGTGGTTGTTTCTGTTCATCTGTTTGGTTAGCTTTGGCTTGGAAGCCAGTGATAGTTTGTTTTTGTATCCTGCTTTTCTTTAAAATTCAAATTGTTGGGTAACTAAGAACTAAGCATATTCTATTTTTTAAAAAATGTAATGCAAACAAAAATAGTAAGTTATACAGGATGAAGAAGAATCACTCCAAAAGCAGCCTGTTTTCATTAATTTTGTAATATTTCTAGTTAATGTTAAGCAAAAATGACTCTGAGAAGGAAAACTCCAAGAAGTTTATATTTTTATTTCTAGAAATTATTTAGAGTTGCAATGTAGAGAACATATGCTCTTTATTAATAAATCATTTACTTTTAATATAATATACAATAATGACTAATAATTTAAAAGAACTTAAACTTACTAGAGAAGTGAGTCCTTCATTATCAACAATCCAGTCTTCCTTTTCAGCTAATCTCTTTATTTCTACATGGAAAACAAGCACACAAATACTTTTAATATATTTATCTCACTGAACTTTATGGAGGAAAAAAATCTATTTTAATTGTTTCATAGAGATTTGTTAAAACTTGGTGAAACTAAAAAAATATATAATTTTGGTAGACTTGAGAATTTTAAATATGTATTATTCATTGGATTTCTAAAAATAAAACATTAATGTAAACAAATTTTCCCCTGCATAGCCCAATTTGAAGAATTCTAGAATAGGCATAATGACAAACCGAGACAGTAAATGCATTACTTATTCAGTTCTCCTGATAATGCCAGACATGTACAAAGTAAGTTGTAAAACACTGCTTTTCATAAAACTTCTGGTGAATAATTTTGCTTCTGGTTGAATCCTATACTTTCCTGATAATGGCAGTATGATTTTCATATTGGCAAAAGGAATGCCACCTGTTCAAACCTTCATTGTTGCAGGCTAGCTCAGGTTTCCAGGGCAGGGGAAGAGGATGAATTAAGAGAGGAATGTTTAGTTTCTCATCTGGATTCAACTTGCTCTACATTTACACAGGTTATTAGCCACCAATCTGTGGAGACATAAACTTCCTACCTAAGAAGACTGGTGGTAGATAGTAATGGCATACATCATTTACAGCAATGTTCTCGATTGTTTCTCAAAATATGTGATATCTAAAGGTTGCTTTGTAAAAATAACCTTTATTGCTTTTTATGATTTTATGTAGAGAACCCTGAAAAATTTAAAATATATACAGAAACTAAGAATCATCTATAATTTCTAGAATCCAGAGAATTCAAGTTTGAGCAGTCAGTCAAACTATGGAATCTATGGGACCAAGGAATAATTAGCAATTATTGATAATTGCTGCTAATAATCTTCCTTCCAATTACACATTGATTTTTCTAAATTAAATTTTAAAAATATACACATATATATTTTCAAAACTGGGATCACATTTTATATACATTTTCTATCCTTCATTTTCTAATTAACATTTAACAAAGGGTATTCTTATATCCTTAAATACTTTCTTTTTTTTGAATTGGAGTCTCACTCTGTCACCCAGACTGGAGTGCAGTGGCCACTCCCGGCCACCGCAGCCTCGACCTGCTGAGCTCCGGCGATCCTTCGGCCTCAGCCTTCCAAGTAGCCGGAATTACAGGCATCCACTACCACGCCCGGCTGATTTTTTGATTTATTGTAGAGATGAGGTCTCGCTGCCCAGGTGGGTCTCAAACCCGCAGGCTCAGGCAATCCACTCACCTCAGCCTCCCAAAGGCGCAGGATTACAGGCTGAGCCACCGAGCCCGGCTTCCTTAAATATTTTCAAGTGTATCCACCTTAATTTCTATATGGTCTTGCTTCTCAACTAAACTGATTTGAAAAGAAATTTCTTTAAAAAGGGAAAAAAATTATATTGAGCAGCCAGAAATAAGATGAACTTATATATTTAAATTTCCATTAGAATAATAGTGTCTTATTTTCAAGTATCTGGAAACTGAAAGGACGTGGCATATTCAAATTTGTCCAGTCAATGTCATCAATCTTTCTAAACACACCTTCTGCTGTGTGTTGCAATGTGACCATTACACAACGTACTCGGAGATCCAAGATGAGATCCTGGATCGTCTGCAACATGTCATTAGGAATTTCAAGAGCTGTCAATGATTCATAAGTAAGCCTGCCAAACAAACACAACAAAACAAAAGTAAGTAGATGGGCATCCCAAAGCACTTCCTGCTATCACTTTGGTCATCCAATAACTCGCTCCTCATGAAGCTTATGAGCTATAGCATCAGTTCGTAAACCGAGAAAGACAGACCACAGCAAGGACTGTCGTACAACAGGCATAAACAATAAAGATTCACAAGTGGTATGCGTCCTCATCCAACATAAACACCAGGAGTGTTTAAGGCTTTGTTTTGATGACAAATGGGAAACGATGGAGGCAAAAGGTTAGAGAGAAAGAAAAGTAAAATTTCTTCTTTGTTGAATACATTAAAAGTCTTATCCCATACTGAGTTTTTTTTTTTTCCCCAGAAAGCAAAAATAAAAAAACAAAATAACTCATTTGTATGAGAATCTGTCCATATTTACCTCATGGTCTGAATGACATGCGCTAGCCACTGTCCAGACAACTCAGACTTCACCTCCCAGCCTCCGAACTGCCGAGAGTCCCCATCCCGGATGCTGAGTGGAAGCAAGGCCCCACGAATCAGCTTCACAAGGGAGTGCATTACTTCCTGAATCATTTTCTGGAAAAACACAAACAAGCAAAATTACATTAAAATGTCTTTACCTGGTTAAATTAACTAAAAGATTGTGCCTAGTAATAATGAGTATCTTGAATATAAAGTCTCCTAGTAACAACTCTGGATGAGAAAGCCCTACCTTGTGAAAAAGTGTACATACTTATCCTTAACTTACCTTAAAATCATTTTGTCTTTGCCTTACATTCTTTGATCTTTCAATCTGGCCTGACTTCTCGGCCGTCTTAAAAATTAAAAAACAAAATAAAACATATTAGAAATAATTTATAAAAATAAAAAGTGCCTTAGCTTTTGTATATAGAGAATAAAATATGGTTACAACCTGATTAAAAGGAATGCTCAAGACATATTCTAAGTTTCCGATTAAAGGATTATTAATTAGAAAACTTCTTTTATTCCAACAGGAAGTTATTTATCTTTCTAAAACCTTTAGGTACAATTCCCATAAATAAACCTAAAAATTAAGTTGAAACTACTGATTTTATAGGTGAATTTCATATGTCATTTTCATCAACAATTTCATATGATTAAACCATAAAGTATCATACCCATGATAACATTCTCAACATCATTTCTCATTAGCTAGTACAGAAATAAAAGAAAGAGTAAACTCTAAATTAATATATAGTAATCTTAGGGCATCCAGTTCATTCCCTTGGTAAATATTTATGAATACAAACATTATATCCACCATTTTATTTTTAAAATCACATGAATCATTGCGCTTCTTGCAGAGATTTTATAGTATCACTTAGGAAAAAATAATCTTTCTAGATTTAATTTTTTCTTCATTTACTGATGTAACTCATGTTATCATCTGATATTTCTCTTTCTTCTTAAAGTAACATCTGGAAAACTATATTGGTTAAAAGAAAAATATGTTCAATTCTTTTTTACTTAACTTTTTATTAACAATTTTTTTAGTAACTAAATATCATTATACAAAATGCCCTAGAAAGACAAGCCTAAGAAACTTTCCAAATAAACAAGCAATAAAAAAATTATAAAATGTAAAAGAATTCTGACCGCTGATATAATGCAAAAAGATAAAACTCTCATGTATTATTACATGACATGTAATACATTACATTACATGTTAATACATGACATATCAAGTGGTCTTTCAGTTAATAACAGAAGCATTATAAATGATTATAATATTGGCTTTAAATTAATTTTAGAATACAAGTAAGTATTATATATGTGTAGGCATATACATATATATGCATTTAGGTATAAGCTAGAGAAACTGCATGTAGAGTTTGTTTATAAAATGAACACACTGACACACTAATTAAAAGAAGGGCTAATTAGGATTGTTGGACATATTGAACAAAAATATTAACCATGCCTGATAAAAAATAGTGAGTACACACATAGATATATAACCTTCAAACTAGAATTTACAATTAGTTTTAAATTTTGTATTAAAAGGTGCCATCTTTATCTTTTTTTTTCTCTGTAGAAACACACTTTTGTTTTGAAAGAATTAAAGGCATATATAAAAAACTAAGTCCAACCACCTTTATTCAACAGAGTACTAGAAGTCCTAGCCAGAGCAATATGGCAGGAAAAAGAAATAAATGACATCCAAATTACCAAGGAGGAAGTCAAACTATCTCAGTTCACAGATAACCTGATTCTGTATCTAGAAAATCTTAAAGACTTCTTTAAGAGACTCTTAGACCCGATAACTGGCTCAGTAAAGTTTTGGGATACAGAATCAGGATACAAAAATCAGTGGTATATCTATACATCAATAATGCTTAAATCAAGAACCAAATCAAGAGCTCAGTCCCATTTACAATAGCCATTAAAAAAAAAACCCTAGGAATATATTTAACCAAGGAGGTGAAAGATATATACAAGGAGAATTATAGAACATACACAAAAAAAGAAATTGTAGATGACACAAATGGAAAAACATTCCATGCTCATGGATCAGAAGAATTAACATTGTTAAAATGACCATATTGCCCAAAGCAATCTACAGATTCAATGCAATCCCTATTAAAATAGGAACATCTTTTTCACAGAACTAGAAAAAACAATTCTAAAGTTTATATGGAAGCAAAAAAAAGAGCTCAAATAGCCAAAGCAATCCTAAGTAAAAAGAATAAATATGGAGGTACCACATTGACAGACTTCAAATTATACTACAAGGCTACAGTAACTAAAACAGTATGGTACTGTACAAAAACAGACAGATCAATAGAACAGAACAGAGAACGCAGACACAAAAACCCATACATACCTAAAACCAACTGACCTTCAACAAACTGACAAAAATAAACAATGGGAAAAGGACACTATATTCAATAAATGGCACTGAAAAAACTGGCTAACAATACAGAAGAATGAAACTAGATCTTTCTAGCTCTCATTGTATACAAACATTAACTCAAGATGGATTAAAGACTTAAATGTAAGAGCTGAAACTATAAAAATATGAAAAGAAAACCTAGAAAAAAAACTCTTCTGGACATTGCCCCAGGCATAGACTTTACGACCAAGACTCCAAAAGCAAATGCAACAAAAACAAAATAGACAAATGGGACTTAAATTAAAATGCTTCTGCCAGCAAAATAAATAATCAACAGAGTGAAGAGAAAGCTACAAAACAGGAGAAACTATCTGCACATTATGCCTCAAAGGACCAGAATCTACAAGGAACTCAAACAACTCAACATAAAAAAAAGAATCAAAAAGTGAGCAAAGAACAAGAACAGACATTTCTCAAAAAAACACATACAGTGGCCAACAGACATATGAAAAAATGCTCAGCATCACTAATCATCACAGAAATGTAAATTAAAATCACAATGCAATATTATCTTGAATAATCTTGAATGGTTATTAAAAAGGCAAAGAACAGACGTTGGCAGAGATGTGAAGAAAAGGGCACACTCATACACTGTTGGAGGGATTGTAAACTAGTTCAACCTCTATGGAAAACAGTATGGAGATTTCTCAAGAACTATAAAAAGAATTACCATTCCACCCAGAAATCCCACTACTGGGTATCTACTCAAAGGAAAAGAAATCATTATATAAAAAGATACTTGCACTCATATATAGTCATTGTAGCACTACTCACAAATAGCAAAAATCATAGAATCAACCCAAGTGCCCACTGACAATTGACTGGATAAAGAAAATGTGGTATATATACACCATGAATACTACGTAGTCATAAAAAAGAATAAAATCATGTCCTTTGCAGCAACATGGATGGAGCTGGAGAACATCATCCTAAGTGAACTAACTCAGAAACAGAAAACCGAAAACTACATGTTCTCACTTGGGTGGGAAAGCTAAATGAACATAAAGATGAAAATAACAGACACTGGGGACTAAAAGGGGGAAGGCAGGAAGGGAAATGAGGGTTCTGAAGCTACCAATTGGGTACACTGTTCACTATTTGGAAAATGGGGACAGCTCAGGTCCAGTTCCTACCAGTATGCAATACACCCTTGTAACAAACATGCCTTTGTATCCCCTGAATCTGAAATTTTAAATTTAATAAATACAAAAATTCTCCTCTACATAAAAAAAAAAACTAAACTCAGAATTCACTTAAATAATCATTCAAAAAGCTAACTTCTGAGTTCACTGGTCACTGACACAAAATTCTTTGCATACCAGGATTTAACTAAAAATTGATTTTTCCTTTATTTTGAAGACAAATGGGAATTCAAGTGTTTTTAAGAAGCAGAGTGATGTGATTAGGCTAAAGTAAGAAATGAAAAGAGGGAGCAGTGTGGGCGTGTGACCAGCCAGCAGATGCTGCAGTTGTCCAGGTGAGCATGGCTGCAGTCTAGACAACAGGAGGTAGGGAGATGAGCCCAGGTGATTGGCTTTAGACATGGCCACAAGAGGGAGACTGACTGCTCTGGGTTTTTCTATGAGGGAGTAGTCATGCCCACTCAGGAAAGTCCATTGCTTTGTGTTTTTGTCCAGCACAATGGTCAGAACAAAGAACACCGTTGGTGATATGGGCCCAAGGTGTAGAAGAACAAATGAATGCCCTGCTCACTGAGGTGATAAATGGCTATTCACTAAATGTGGTTTGTCAGGTCTTGGTCTTGGACACCTTCTTCTCTCTTTTCTCTCTATACTTTCCAATTTGTTCCCATGGCTTCAAATGTCATTTCTAACTAATGTCTCCCAAATGTTATCTCCAGCCCAAATATTTCCCCTGAGACGAGACCCAGATATGAATCTCAAATTGCCCACTCAATGTCTCCTCTTGAATAACCAATGGGAATCTCAAATCCAACACATCAGAAATATAAGACTGATCTTTCCTCCAAGCATGTTCTTCCTCAAGGCTTTCTGACTTTGTAAATGGCAAACCTTCTCATGCAGGAGCCCATTTGGAAGCTACATTTGAATCCCTGTCCTCCTCTTCTTCATCTGATCCATCATTAGGAACCATCAACACTATCTCCAAAATACAAATCAAACCTCTCAATTGCTGTCCAATTCCATTGACAGAACTTTCATCCAAACCACCAGTTTCCTGCCCGGAGAGCCTCAATGGCTTCCCCACTCATTATGTAAGCAGCCAAAGTAGTCTTTTTACAACCAGAAAGCTGGTCATTCACCCCTGTCTGTGGTCTGTGATGAAGTACTCTGCCAGCAGACTGTCCCTCCTGATACCCTTGCCATTACTCAGCATGCTCCGCTCCTTGCAGCTTTTTCCCCATTTCTCAGAGATGCCAAGCTCCCTTCTTGGCACTGCGGTTGTCATTCTTACTGTCTTGGTACGTGCTTCCCTGATCCTTGGCGTGGCTTTTTCCTGCTCATGTGACAAGTGTCAGCTTAAATGTCATCTCTACAAAGACAGCATCCCCGACCTCCACCCCACTAATATTTTTTTTAAGGACTCTATTTCTTTCTTCCATAGCTATTATCAGAACTTATGATAATTTTTCTAAAAATTATTATGTTTCTCTCTCTCTCTAGAAGGGAAAGGTAATGCTTATCTTGATCACTGTTTTATTTATGGTATATACATGATTTAAAATTTATGTGTGTGTGTCTATATATAGCATGTACATGTATATATACACATGTATGTATATATTACATTTATGTGTATGTAATGTCTATGTGTCTATTGTGTATACCTGCATGTATATAGATGAATGTGCACATGTGCATACACATGTATATTTTGTGCATACATGTGTAATGTGTGTGTGCATGTATATGCATGCACATGTGTAGCAGTACCTGGTAATTGGCAAATAAGTGATCACTTAGGGTTAGGGTTCTGCAGGACTTTCTTGGACATATTTAAGAAAGCATGCTTGCCCTGAACACTTGGGGTCTCAACAAGACAGATAGGCTCTTGGAGGTAGATCTGCCGGACATAATTCTATGATTACGGCCAACACATTCAGTTCTTCTGGAGTTGTAAGACGTCAGCAAAAGAGACGGACAGAGGTTTGAGAGTTTTTTGTGAAGATTGGGGGTTGGGAAGACTGTGTCAAGTGTTGAATTCAGATGCTGTTGAGGAGCCTAGCCCTACTGGAATGTCGGAGCTAAGTCTTGGTTAAGGGCCTTGTGATGGTTAATTGTCAACCTTCAGATGTGTCAACTTTACTGGGCTGCAGGGAGCCCAGACATTCGGTCAAATGTTATACAGGATGTGTCTGTGAAGGCATTTCTGTAAGATTACATTTAACTCAGTATACTAGATAAAGCACATTGCCCTCCCTAATGTGAGTGGGTCTCATACAAACAGTTGAAGGCCTAAACAGACTGAAAGGGTTGACCCTCCTACAAGTAAGCAAGCATATGTCCAGTTTGATTACCTTCAAGCTGAGACAGTGTGAGCTTTTCCTGCCTTCATAACTGAACTGAAACATCTGCTCTTCTTAGAGCAGAAGGCAAATGAACTAGAACATACAGCAGTGGAGTTCCTCGGTCCCCAGCTTGCCAACTCACCCTGCAGACCTTGGGACCTGTCAACCTTGAGAATGACACATGCCAGTTCCATAAGTCTCTTTATGTATGAGTGTGTGTGTGTGTGTATGCACATTATATGTATACACATCCTACTGGTTCTGTTTGTCTGGAAAACCCTGACACATACAGACATAGTCTGCTGTGCTGCACAGAAAGGGACATGCTGTATAAAATCATGTCTTGATTGTCAGATGGCATCTCCTCTACTTGTATCCTCTATAGTACCTAACACTGAACCTTTGTACGTAATAGGACTGTTCAATGGGAAGATTACTTAATAGTCATGTGTTCTGTTATATATTTTTTAAATAAAAGAAAAGTGTGAAAATCTATTGTTAAAAAGCATCATTATAAAATTAAGGCTAAATTTGTCAGAACAATTTTGCTCACCAAACAGGTGCTCATGAATATATGGTGACATCTACTAGATAATAATTTGGTAACATTCAAGGATTTGTCTCCAAATACATATAAAGAAGAGGGGTGTAAGGCAGGCCCTTTTCAATTGTTAATAAAACAACAGCTACTTATTGTTTTAATTTAATACAGAATCATCACCAACATAATGAATTATATAAAGTTTGCCCTATTTTTAAAATAAAATATAATTTTGTAGCACACAGTAAATTTTAATTTATAATACTTTGAGCTATGTGCCTTTTAAAAATGCTAACTCCTAGTATTTAATAATTATTATGTTTTAAAGATTGAATTATGCTTGAAAATTTTTATCCAAAAATAATATACTTAAAATATATCTAAAGGTGAGATCTTAACCTACTACCAACCATTTCGTTAACTAGAAACCTTAACTCTTTCCTGCACACACAGACCAAAACTACTTTGTGGTGAGAGCAACGGCTAGATTTCACTGTTTTGATTCACCTTACTTCATATGGGCTTCACTGACTTGAAGAACTGACTATTTTGTAAACTGTTGAAAACTTCATCTAAATCTTTAACAGATAGGCTCCTTGTTATAAAACAAAGTAGTTCTATAACAAGAAAAGAACATTCAAAAAACTAGTGTTTAAATATAAGAAAGCTTTCTTATATTAAATTAAATATCAGCTATCAAAAGTCCCAGAACCTGTCCCAACATTACTCATTGAGGTTCTGGATTTCACTCCCATGCTAACAAGAGTGCACAAGTTCCACCAAGCCTCCCTACTTCCCAGCTTCCCAGCAGAGGATAAATAGTGTAAAAGCATGCCTAAATCTCTAAAGTAACTTATACTTCATTAATAATTATTGCAATAATATCTTAAACTTATAAACATAAATAGGTAGAATATCATAGGTATATGCAACTCAGTACAACTCATTAAAATCATTTCCTCAGTCCAATATTATTGTTGTTCATGAGTTCTGAAGTAGGACCACCAAATATTTCATTTATATTTTTATCATAAGTAGGTATAACCTGTAAGAAAGGAAAATAAATTCCCTTTCTCAGATAAAAAGTTCTTAGGAATTTTACAACTCTAACGACTTAAGGTAGGGCAACCACTGTCCACATGTGGCAGGCTACTGGTAGGAACTGATGCAAAAGAAAATAACACTTAGTTAGAAACAAATAATATGGTACTAAATGACGAATTCTTTGGTGAGCTAATCCATTTTAACATCATTCAATTCTATGCTAGTAGCACATCAGCCCAGTGTTTTTAATGTTACTAAAGTTTGTTCACTAAATACCTATTATATGCCAAGCCACGGAAATTTCAAACACTGGAATAAATTTTATTCCAAATAATAAAAGCAAATTCTTATTTATCTTATTTATCTGCCAGATGGTATTATAAACACTTCACTGAATTCTGAAGCCAGCCCTATGGAAGCAGGCACAGAGAAATAACATGACTAAGGTCACAGCTAGTGAGTGACCCACGCAGGATGTTTCAGTGAGAAAACCTACGAATGCCATCTGTCCACAGGCAGCATCTAGTCTTTCCCATTCACATAAGCAATATGGTTTAGAGATGGAACAGACACAGAGAGGAAGCTGGTGCCCATGGTCCTCTGTTCTACATAGTACAGGGGGCAAGACACCCTACACCCATCCTCAGCACAGCAAGCACACAAATCTCACCCAGCTGAGATTCACAGACACAAACCAACGTATGACATGTACAAAAGCAGAGCCCCAGACATGCTTTCTTCAGGACAAAACTGAAATTAAAGCATTTCTCTCATAAGCCAGCAATAAGCAACTCTACATTTATAAAAACCAGCCAAACCTGTTATTTGTTTTATGGAAGGAAAACTTCTTCTGCATAGTTAACTTTTCAATAGAGTTTTGGCATAACTGAGAGATACAAAAAGAAAAGAAAGTTGTTTACTGTTTTAATATTAGAATGTTCACTTGTGATCAATACACTACTGAAATTAAAGAAAGAAAAAAAACTGCATCAGTGAGCCATGCTTAAGAGACTGGTTTTTCTGCACTGAGGAGTTTGCTCTCGTCACTACTGTTTTTCTGTTTTCATAAACTAAAAAACATTTTATGGATTAGATAACCAACCATTTATATGCACAAAGGTCTAGGGAACTGATAGGTTTAAAAGAGATAGTGGGCACATAGAATTTAAGTAAAACAAAGGAAAACAAAATCTCCAGAGTATAACCCTATTCCTTTAATATTAGAATGAATTTATGTCCATGGTCAAATAAGATATGAAGGAACCCTGACTGAGGAAGAGGGTTTTAAACCACAAAGGCTGTGTCTTTGTGCAAAAAATTAAAAATGATTTCAGCCTTTGTCCACATCCATTTTCTGTGTTGTCAAATCCAAAAGAAGCAGGAAGTTAGTCTTTATCCCCAGGAAGATCCTTTCCTCTCCCAGCTCTCCCAGGGTTTTAAAGAGCTCTCCCCTGGAGGCCAAGAACAGAGCTGTCTTCTCAGTCTGAGAAGCGGGGTACCCTTAGCAGCTTAAGGCAAGGGACACTATAATCTACATTCCAGGAACTGGAGTTCTTTAATGGCACTTAACATGAGATTATAAAGTGATGAGTCTGGTTTCCATGTGCTACACACAGGTCAGTCATTGCTTCATGTTAATGCTTTCTGTACCACCAATTATATCTTGATTAGACACTAAGTAAATGTGTGACTCATGAAGATGCAAATACTTATAAAAACTTCTATAGGCTGATAACAATGGGGCTGCATTACATGCTCTTTAATTCTTTCCAAATAGAAAATTTTATAATTATATTAATTATTCTGGACCTATGTGAAACCTGCAAATGTTATCCTTTTTTCATCATTTGTTCACAGTCTCAGACACATAATTGCGCCCATAATTTTGCATGACTGGCATTATTCTCGATTCTGAATCCTAGAAAATAGTTAAAGTTTTCTTTTTTCTTTGATTATCTCATTTAATCCTTACAGTCACCTGTTGAGATAGATACGCTTACCATTCTCTTTTTAGAAATGATGAAAAATTGAGTCCCAGAACAATCAAGCAACTTGTTCAAGGTCATATGGCTACTAAGTGTCAGGGCTGTATAATGCTTTTAAGTAATCCTAAAATATACGACAATATACATGTTGAGCTTCTGTGTTTTAAAAACTCACTTCAGAATCTAACATGTTTAAATCTAGAAAATCACAACTTAGCTCCACCTATAGTAAAATTTGTATACATACCTCACTGAAAAGGCTTCCATTAACATATGAAATCCACAGTTTCCAGAAGTTAGGCAGCTGGCTTAAGACAAGCTTGGTCAATTTTTCAACAAATGCCACCCTGTGGGGAGTTTTGTATCTCCATGCTAAAGAGGGAAAAAATACTATAAATATACTTTTAAATAGAGAATAAAAACCTATTTGAACATATTGCTATCACTCCACCTAAAAATCAAACATAGAGTAGAAGTAGTCTAATTTGCTGTGGACACTTTGGCTACAGAGATTTAAGGTACTGATATCAAAGCATTTCCTCCTTCCCATCAGATTATGATGCCCAGCAGCTACTGGAGCACAGTGGCACCCATAACCAGAGGGCCCTGCTTTTCTTTTTCCCCCCTCAGGTAAGAATGAGCACCTTCTAAAGCATCCCCACTGACTAGCGGTCCAGGGCAATGGGCCAGGTGGCCATAGCCTCGGAAGCGGGGAGGGCTTCCAACAGGAGGATTATTTGGCTTTTCAACAATGTCTGAGGAATGATATATGTCTCTTCAAAAAGTCATGCCTTCAAACAGCAGACTAAAAACAAAGGCAGGGGGTGCTCTACAGGTAATAGTGAAATTCTAGGATAATAACAATGGGCTGGGAAATGCCACTATACAACATAGTTGGTGAAAAATTCAGTAAGGAATCCAGCTGTCATAAAGGAAATATTCAAGTGCAATCACATAAGTAATAACTCCTCCTATAATACAGAAATTTAAGAAAAATTCAAATAATGGAAACTTTTTGGTTACACATCATTTAATACAGCTATTGCAGTAAGTGGGAAATAAGGACTTGGATTTCTTATGGGAAGAATAAGTTCATGGGAATAGAAACAAGGGTGGAAATTCAGGGTCCACTGACCATCTCCTAACTCTCCCGCTCCTTTATCCTATGTGCCATGGCCCAGCAGACTCCCTCCTGCCCTGCCTCCTGGTCCCCACTTACTGGGGAGCTACAGCCAGGTCAAAGTCTAACTACTACTCAGCAACTTCAAAGACAGGTGGCCTCAGAGGACGTTTTCATTATTTCCCTCCCCAGCCATGAGCTTCCTTTAAAAATACTCCTGGGGCCAGGCTCTGTGACTCAGTCTGTAATCCCAACAGTTTGGGAGGCCGAGGTGAGTGGATTGCCTGAGCTCACAGGTTCGAGACCAGTTCAGGCAACTTGGCAAGACCTCGTCTCTACAATGAGATAAAATAAAAAGTAGCCAGGCGTGGTAGCACGCACCTATAGTTCTAGCTACTTGGAAGGCTGAGGCAGAAGGATCACAGGAGCCAAGCAGGTCAACACTGATGTAGCCATGAGTGTGCCACTGCACGCCAGCCTGGGCGCCAGAATGAGACTCCAACTCAAAAACACAAAAACAAAAAAATTCTCCTAGGCAAAAGGTTTTGTTGTTGTTGTTCCAGTGAGGGAGAGATAAATTAATTTTTAAATGTTTAATAATTTCCTAGCCGGGCTCGGTGGCTCAGCCTGCAATCCCGCGTCCTGGGAGGCTGAGGTGAGGAGACTGCCTGAGACCGCGGGTTCGAGACCCGCCTGGGCAACTTGATGAGACCTCATCTCGACAATAAATCAAAAATTAGCCGGGCATGGTAGTGGGTGCCTGTAGTTCCGGCAACTTGGAAGGCTGAGGCGGAAGGATCACCGAAGCCTAGCAGGTTGAGGCTGAGGGAGCCGGGAGCATGCCACTGCACTCCAGTCTGGGCGACAGAGTGAGACTCCAACTCAAAAAAAAAAAAAAAAAGAAAGATTTCTGACTAGATAATACATGGTCAGAAAATAACAAGGTATACAGTGAACATCTACCACCTGCCACCCACATGTGCACAGTTCCCAGCCCCAGGACTGTTTACTAACTTCTTGTTATTCTTTCTGAAATGTTTTTTATATAAACAAGCAAATATAAACGTGCTTTCTTCCCCATCCCAAATGTTCTTTGTTCTTACACACTGAAAGCGCAGAGCTCATGCCCTGAGCTGTCTGACTCCGCTGCAGTTGATCCAGAGTCCCCCATATTCACACAAGCAATGCTCCCTCTCTTTCTCCCTACAGTCACACAGTCTTGCACATTTTTGGCCGTATCCTCATTTAACAAGTTATCTTCTAATGGACAAGACTGTTTCCAGTCATTTGCAGGTAAAATTAATGTTTCAACCAGTAACTGTACACCTACATCGTTTAGCACACGTTTAAGTGTTGAATACATTCCCAGGATGAGAATTGCTGGGTCAAAGAGCACATATTGCTGGAATTTTGATAGGTATTACTGAATTGCCCTCTCAAGGGGTTATTTACACTGCCACTTGCAACACACAAAAGTAGCAGCTTTGTTATAACCTTACCAGTGAACCAAACACACAAAACCCAAACAGAACAATCACCACTTGAGGGTTTTGCCAAATGGGTTTCTTACTGTAGTGTTATTGTGCCTTTTTCACGACTATCATGAGTGAGATTGACATGCTATTCACATGCTTATGAAACACTGAGACTTCCTTTCTGCAGCCCACAGGGCATCTTCATTAATTAAGCATATTAGCCCTTTGTCTATGCTATGAGTTGTGGGGAAAAGTTTTACATGCATTTCCACATGTGTGAAAGGCACGGTTCTTTAAGGGCACATTATAAACTTTATTTGTTCATTCAGCCAATATTTATAGCATATCAACTGTGTGCTTATCATGTGGCTATCCCTGTATCTAAATTGTTCACACTAATGCTGAACAAGGTAGGTTTCTGCCTTCACAGAGCTTATAATCTAACAGAATAGCCAATTAGCCAATGAAATGTATCAAAATGATAATATGAGACAAGAAGTCTTCATTTGGAAACAGAACTTTTAAAGACTTTTTCCTAATAGTAGTTGATGATTGTTTTACAAATGGCAGGCAGCATGCCAGAGCATAAGCCAAGCCATGTACGTCCTGGGTTCAATGACAAGGTAAAAAATGGGACAAGAAAATCTAAAAATGGAAGCACTGAAAAATTTGCTTTATATGGTAGCAAATGAATTCTTACATGATATGTTCCCTGAAAATAATGTTTCAAAAACGATCTCAGCTCCTCTGTGTAACTCTACTGAAAATTATTTTGTTATTACTATGACTGTGAGAAACTCATCTGCATCCTTACCTCACAGTTCATTCGCAGAGCTTGTTTGCTGGGAAATTAAAGTGAATATCTTGGTGTCAAACCTGAACACGTACTTTGTGTGGTCTGCTCTGGCTTATTATAGAGCCACATACAGTCATGTGCTGATTGAGGAAAGGGATATGTTCTGAGAAATGTGTCCTCAGGCAATTTTGTCATTGTGCGAACATCACAGAGTGACTTACACAAACCTGGATAACATAGCCTACTGTACACCTGGGCTGTATGGTGTAGCCAACTGCTCCTAGGCTACAAGCCTGCACAGCGTGTGGTTGTACTGAATACTGTAAGCAATTCTAACACAATGTTAAGTATCTCTGCATATCTAAATATGGAAAAGATACAGTAAAAATCTGATATAAAAGATTAAAAAAAGGTACACCTATAGGGTACTTACCATGAATGGAGCTTGCAGGACAAGAGGTTGTTCTGGGTGAGTCAGTGAGTAAGTGGTGAGTGAATGTGAAGGCCTAGACATTACTGTGCACTATCGTAGACATTATAAATACTGTACACTTAGACAATACTAAATTTATTTTTAAAATAAACTGTGTTAAGACATTAAGATGGTTACTATGTCACTAGATGAT